TCATGACTAAGTTCCATTTTGAGATGTAAAGATATGGGAGAAGCCTCATATGTATTGGGCATTAAGATAACAAGAGATAGAAGTTCAAGATTTCTATATTTATCTCAAGAAAATTATTTAGAAAGTGTTTTAAATATATTTAAGATGGAAAATTGCAAGCCCATAGATTCACCTGTTTGTAAAGGCTTGAAATTATCAAAGAAAATGTGTCCATTAAATGATGGTGACAAAGCTGAAATGGAAAGAATTCCATATGGTCAAGCTGTAGGATGCATAAGTTATGTCATGTTATGTACAAGACCTGATTTGAGTCATGCATATGGTTTTGTAAGTAGATTTCATAGTAATCCTAGGATAGCTCATTGGCAAGCGGTAAAAGGATACTCAGATATATTCAGAAAACTACAAATTACAAGTTGTACTTCCAAGTTGACAACTTAGAGGTTACTGGGTACTCTGATGCAGATTTTACAGGAGCCCTAGATGATAGAAAATCAACCTCAGAAATTGTATTCATCTTTGGAGGTGGATGTGCTTGTTGGTCTACTAAGAAACAAGGTTGTGTAGCTCGGTATATTATGGAAGCCGAGTATATTGCTTATATCATTGCTACAACTTATGCCATTTGAATTAAACGCTTCATAAATAATTTGAAGCTGGATATAGCCGACGAACTTATTAAATTTTTTTGTGATAATCAGGCTGTTATTTCATCAATTAGAAATGGAGCTTATAGTTCCAAAGGTAAGCACATTAAAATTGATTATCAATATATTTATGATATTATTAGAAAGAATGAAATAACTATAAGTTATTTGTTATTTTTAGATATGATTGCAGACCCTTTAACAAAAGGATTGAGTGCAGAAATATTATCAAAGCATGTAGCTTTGATGAGACTTGAAAATATTTAAGTCAGGAACTCTCAAATGGGATATTTTTTGATGTCTTGGTCATGAGAGGAAAAACCGCATTAGCGTGAAAAACCATGACATGACTTCGGATATTTTTTGTTATGAGATGTATAACCGCACTTGCGTGATAGCCTAATGAAAAAAATATGCACATAAATGTTAAATTCATTAAGTGGTAAAGACTTTATGATTGGCCAAGTGGGAAATGTTGGTACGTGTGTGTGGCCATGGGGCCTGTAAACGTGCAATATTTCTCTCTGTTATAATTTAATGCTTATCTCTAAAAAAGGGAGACTTCTTAGAGAGAGAAAATGCTGTTATCTAACGGCTAAAAAGTAATCACCCACTTTCCAAGATTACAGGGCCACATTTTCTTAGAGATTTCAGGAGGAAGCCGAATGTTGGAGAATGACCTCCTCCATCCCTCTATAAGAAGGGTTTCATGGCCATGGAGAGGGACATAGAAATTTACAGAGTTACGGAAATTTACAGAGTTCTCATAGTTCTGGTTGCAATCGATAGTCTCACAACACTGCCCCTAATCCTGAGAGTGGGTCCATATCTTCCCTCAAGTTTTCAACATATAGGTCCCTACTTGTTTTTTAAATGGTTAGTATTTTGAAACTCTCTATAGGATTGAAAAGCATGATGTGCGATTAAGGTATGGAGGGGTGCTACCACAAGGAACCCAGGTCCTTTCGAGGCTGATTTACAAAATGCCATAACATGGTGTCGTAGAGAGCAGCGGTGTCTTGCAAATTAAGATTGGATCCAAATTGATGATTTGTGCAATTCTTTGAACATATTTTTTTCTCTTATTTATAGAGAAGCAAAGAGAGAAACGTATCTGCTAGCCAAACAGAGGGTCCCTCTTACATGTAGTACATCATAGATGTTTATGATTATTAATGGATTGTATATAATGAGACCATTTACTTTTTATACAAAGAGGTCACAATTACTTACAACCATCCGATATGAAATCTGATAGCTTAAGTGTGTTATAAAGTTCGAAAAAAATTATTTTAAACTTTGAGCTTGGTTGGAATAAATGCATCCATCTAATTTCACATCTAAAGGTCAAGATTAATTGTGACCACCTTGTATCAAAGATAAATGCTCTCATTGTATACTTTTCCTTTTGTTTTTCATCTTATTATTGTAGCCTTTTGAGTTTTATAGAGGCATAATCTTGGTCAAGAAGAGAAAAGGAAAAACCAAAAAAAACGGGTTTTTTTTTTTTCAGATAAAGTAAAATGTTTTATGCCAGCGGGCCTATCATTTATACCATCTGATTAGTTAGACTATGCAAATTTTGTCTCGATTTGCAAGTGCAATCCAACAAAATTAGACATGCAAGATGCAGGGCCCAGTCGCCTAGAAACAAAGTCCTTTGATGAAACCCCCATAGTGTTTTTTTTGTCGAAAGGTTTATATAAGGTTGTAACCTTATACTATTGAAATAAGGTTTACCTCAAGCATCATGTGGCTTCCAAAATCGAAAAACCTTCCAGTTAATCGTCTCGATCTCGAGGTGCATATATATATATATATATATATATATATATAAATTTTAATTCTTAAAAAAATAGTATACCTTGTAATAAGTTATTTGCACGGTCCATTTTCAAGATTTTCAAGTATTTATAGATGCTTGAGTTGCATTATTTTTGGGATTTTAAAGTTTATAATTCAAGTTGAATATAGACTTTTGAGTTTCTAACACCAAAACTATATTTCATGGCAAAATTTAGAGGTGCGCCTTACTTGTATAGCATAAGCTGGGCAACTTATACAAACTTCATCCACTTTTTTATATCTGAAGACCGTTCTTGCGTTGATCTACAAATGACCACTGAGTTACTCTCTTGTGTCAACCTCGCACACGTGCCATACGACATTTTGTAATAGAAAGTTGTTTCATGAGGGCTAGACCTCATTTCTACACATGTGGTCCAGGAAGTGTAAAGCATCCATCTTAAAGATAGACGCAAGTAGGTCTTTCATCTATAAACAAGGGAAACTAATGGTCCAAATGTTTTCTCACTAGAATTATTATTTTCAGTTTTTAAAATTTATTTATTTATCATATTTATGATCTTAAAATCCATCTCAAAAATAGATTTATTAAGAGGCCCGCATTTCTACACATGCGGGCATGCCGCATAGAAACGAGGTCTTTTCTTAATTACGCTCGTCACATTACTGATATTACAGAACGATGAGTACAACTTATCGCCGTCTAATCAAGAGATAGGCCCCATCGCGTTTGTATGTGTGATTTTCACAGTGGCGCTGCACTCCTCGAGTCACTCTCTGGCCATCAACGGTGATGACACCTACTACTTATGACCTAAGATGTCCAAGTGGTCATGAACATAATACTCTCAACCACCTCCTCTTCAAAAACGGAAAAAACACAGACACGCAGTCGCTTCCATTTCCACTCTCTGATTAGTGCACAGAGAGAGAGCTTATCAGAATATACAGAGGTGTGAGAAAGCACGGCCATGGCAATGGCAATGGCGATGGCAGCTCGTCAAGCGATGAGATCTCATATCACCAACACTCTTAGGCCCAATGGCTCCGCTCAGGCTCCCGTTCTTTTGCATAGGCGTGGCATGGCAGGAGGTGGAGTTATTCAACTCATTCTTTTATCTTTATTATTATTTTTTATTTTCTTATGCTTCGGTTTCTGCTGAATGGATACAGGATGTACTTTAAGTTTAGGGCAAGAGATCGGGTTGATTCTTTTAGGGTTGGGTTTAAGGTTCGAGATTCAGTTTTCATTCTTCAAATTACACTCAATGTTGATTTTGTAAGGTTTTGTTCCTTCAAAGAAATTGATGGTGATCATGTAAGAACATTTGATACTTTGTAAAGGAAGCGAAACAGAAAATACATTTGAGTTTTTATAACCAGTCCTAGGGTTCTGAATAAAGATTCAATACAAAATTCTCTTTTTCCTCTAAAATATACTATTAAAAGCCCCTTGGTTTTACACAAAAGAAGTACTTTAATCCAAGCTTGGGATTGCTATGATGATTATCCCTATTGTGGATAACGAATAAGTTTGATAGCAGCTTATGATTCTCTGATAAGCTGTATTATTTGGGTATTTTTTGAGAAATTTCAACTGATGCATGTCAAATCCTTGAGGAATCATTTTTGGATCAACTGGTTCACTGATTCTTGAAGATTTTTTTTTCCTTCTCCCGAGAATAGAAGCAAATAATGCATTGTAATTGTATTGATGATGAGGTCACTTGATTCATGTTTTGTTTCCTGGTGGCCACATAGAGTTTAGGCCAAAGTTTGTTGTTTGGGTTATGATGTGGTTTTCTTTGTTTTGAGTTTCGAAGTACTTTTGAGCATGTGCACTCTAAGGCTTTGGCCCAATTGGGTTGTTGGGCCAAAGCCTTAGCTTCACTTAGATGTTGTATTGAATTTTTGAGGACCTTTGACAATCCGGGAACATTTTGTATTATATTGTATATGGTTTTACAGTACCTTTAGCTAGTCCTCTAAGATATATGTTCTCCTTACCTTTACTATGTTGACTTTCTCAGCATCTACCATCTCTACGGCTGATATTCCATACTGTAATGTTTTAAGCCTTCTCAGTATATGCAGTTTCTATTTGCTAGAGAAGACTACTCCCTACTCTCTGAATTGTTGTTTCTCTTGATCTATGTTGAATGTATCTTATCTCTAACATCCAAGAGATTTGGCAATTAAATTTTTAATCTTTAAAATGATCGGACTACAAGCCATCATTGGCTTCATGCCTCCATTTTGTTCACTATAAAAATGCACACGCCATCGTTTGGCATGAATACTGCAATATGCTTTGCATAAAGAATATAAATTTTTATATAGTTTGGTTCCATTAAAAATTCAGGAAAGGTTTATATAATGTTGTTCTGGTGGGAGCACATTAAGTTGAAGCCATCAATATATGGTGGTTTCCTTTTCTCGACCTGTTGCTTTATTCTTCTTTAAATCATTTAATTGTAATTTAAATTTGCAGATCATCATGGGCCTCCAAAGGTTAATTTCTGGGAAGATCCATTGAGTCCCTCTAAGTGGAAAGAAGAGCATGTGAGTATTCTGCTTTGAAGTCCTGAAAGCTAAGTTGGAAGAGTCAGTACAATGTTGGAAGAATCAGTACAATATTAGTTACTTATCAAAAAAGAACAAAAGTCTTGAAAGCTATCTTCCTTGTCAAATTCTAACAAATTGCGTTGTTTATATTTCGAAATGAAATCTTGTTTGCTATTTTATGGTACAAATTTAATCATGCTATTGTAGGATGTGATTATCAGTTAAGACAAGAACAAGGGGAGTTTACCCTTAATTATTCATAAGTTGTTTCTAAAATTTGTTCAGTCATGGATGTTTTGTTTTGATTAACAGCCTTGAGGTGGTGTTTACTGGTGGTATAATCCAATATTTTCATCATCCATTTCAGATAAATCCGTCTGGAAGCTATATCTTTAATTTTTATTATGTAGAGTCTTGTCATGTGGGAAAAGTACTTCCATCTAGCATTTCTCTCTTCTGACTAATTATCACTAGAAGGAAAACTAAACTTTTACATGTGCTTTGAGCATTTGGATTTGACAGAATTGATCTTTGTGCCCATATGAGAACTATTACAGTTAGATAATGATATTTAAATATTTGAAGTTCTAATTGCACAAGGGAAATACCCATTTTTTGTATAGGGCTACCTCTCAGGGGTGGTCTATTCTTTTTGAGTAATGTTTTGTATAGGGCTACCCTTTTGGGGTAGTCTTTTCTTTTTGGCATGAGGCTCGGTCTGTGGGCTCCTATGCACACCCTTGTACTTATTATTCTTTAATACAACAGTTAACAAAATAAAAAAAATTGCATAAGGGAAATCCAATATCCATGCTGATGCCATGGTTCAACTTGGCATTTCTTTAAAATTCAGATACATGTACTGGCAATACAATTATATGCGTACATTCTTATATAGATGTATATGTACATAGAAACACACATATATGTGCCTGCTTGCACGCATTCATAAGTTTAAGGCTATGTTATAAAGACATAGATACATGTGTCAGTGTTTGAAGTGGATATTAGTGTCAAAATGCTGACTCCAAAATTAGCTTTTTAGATACAACTAACATGTACACCTTTTAGATAAGGAAAAAGTTTATATAAAGATGCAACCTTATAGTGTAGAACTACGGATGCACCTAAAAAATCCATCGGAAAAGTTAGTTTTAATGTTGAAAAACCCTTTGATTGATCATCTCGACATCGAGATGTATGACCATGAAAAATAAAAAGATTTTAAGTCTCAAAAATAGTGCATTTTACAACATATTATCTACACCGTTCATTTTCAAGATTTTCATATGTTTATAGATCTACTTGATTTTAACCATTTTTGAAATTTAATATTTTATAATTAGATATAAAAATAGATTTTGAGATAATCCTAAGAACATTTTACATCAAAATTATATACCATGATAAAATTTAAAGGTGCACCTTACCTCTACAGCTACGGATGCATCCGTATGTCAACTGCACCCTTTAGATAATGGGGCAGGAGATTTTAGGTGGCATCTATGTATTTTTATTTTGAAATGTCAACTAAAAAGTTAACAAGAAGTATTTGATTTTTAAAGTGTTAGGCATGAGTGTTTTATCCTTGGTGTGTCAAAACATGCAAAAAACCAGAGACATCTATGTCCATGTTACACGGCTTCAAGCAGATTCATCTATTTGTCTAGCCTTTTATGTAAGTGTAAATAGTATATGATATACTTTTAGCGGAACTTGTTTGTAGTCGAGAAACTTAAAAACTTTCCCAAAATTGGTGTAATATTGTCTCACCTACCAAAAAAAATAAATTGGCATTATTTCATTTTTATAAGGGGAAATTGTTTTTGCCTCTGCCCCATTAGGCTTCATGTTTCCTCGCCTCCCATGTGGTCAAAAGTGGCTACTTGGGAACCGAGCTGCCCTTTCGAGCTTTCTGATTGGTTTTGGCTAGATTTTCCTAGAGGCTTCCTGTACAAGTCCCACCCAAAAGGGGCTTTGGGGGAACCACTTTCAAAACTCAACTTCAGTGGACCAATCTACTTATTTTGTACTCTCCAAACAATCACATGAATACAAGACTTTGATAGTCTTGCGCATATCTTCTTTAGTCCTTTACCTGTTTAGCTGCTCAGAGCACCATCATTTGGGACTCAGCTTTGTAGCTTGCACACCTCTTTGAGGTTAGAAGTTTCCTTTAACACTATTAAGGAAAATATGCAGCAAAGAAGATAATGATTGATGTCTCGTATCGTGCTCCTTAAGTATCATGTGCAGGAATTCAGAAATATTTGTTCTTTGAATATTCAAAAGCATTTGATACTGCACATCAAATGCTTTTGGTCACTCTGATTTCCAGATACCTTCTCTAAGGAGGCAGAGTCCTCCTTGGTTTGTCTCTTTCGCAGAGTTTAAGTGGTGCTGACCATATGCCTCTGGCTTTTTCTGCATGAAACCCCTTTTGGTAAAAGTCTAAGCAAGCATCCTCTCCAACTGGATTTTTTTTTTTTTAGTTGTTAATGTTGTGTGCTACTCATTAAAGGTGTATACTTTACGAAAATTGTGTTACCGACAATGTGAGACTTTATAAAAACTATGCTCAACAAGGCAAAGAAACTATTGTGGGGCAAGTGCACAAAAATTTCAGAAACCAAAAATGGTTGCAGAAAACTTCTATAGCGTGATTAGGGAGTTCTGAAGTTCTCACATGTAATAGTGAGTGGAGTGGTCATGATTCCTTCTCTTGCTAGGCTATTAACTCGAGCATTTGTTTCTCTTCAAATTTGTTTGAACAGCTCCGAGATATTGGAAGCTTTCTCCAAAATCTCAGAGAATAGTCCATCAACCTGCCAGAGTTGCCTTTCACGTCCTTACGCCGCAGGATTGTTTATGTTGAGTTCCTTTCCACCAACAGAGAGACCCAACTTGGATTATACAACCTAAGATCTGTTATCAGGGCATTCACTTCTGCTTCCGTTGCATCTATGCAGTCAATCGACCCATATAATTATAGTAGTGTTTTGCTCTATAATTGCAAAAGACACCTCTGACACCTGCAGGGCCAGATTGCAAATCGAACTATGATCAAGTTTGATTTTGGTGGTGCTAAAGGGTGGAGGACTCTAGGCACATGAGTTCTTTGGATCCAGGCAAGGAGCTGCCTTGAGGCGCACAATACTTCTGATTGAAGCACACCTTGAATATCATTAAGCAAAGGGGACAAGAGTTTAATACGACGAAGCAAACTAAGTGAATACGTGACATGCATAGATGCATACTGATCAATCCTTGGCTATTTTATACTTCTCCAACTGAAGAAAAAGACTTTTAGCAAAATTTTTGCTACATGCTACTCTGTTGAAAGCCATTTTTGATATATGCCTTGAGGCGCACAGTACTTCTAATTGAAGCTCACCTTAAATACTATTAAGCAAAGGGGAGAAGAGTTTAATACCGAAGCAAACTAAATGAAACGTGACATGCATAGATGCGTAACATTTGGCCTTTGAAGATCAATCCTTGGCTATTTTATACTTCTCCAACTGAAGAAAATGACTTTTAACAAAAATTTTGCTAATTAGCTTTATGGAAGAGTCAGTTAAGGTATATGGTAAATGTTAAACCTAAGCTTGATCCATTGGTTCTCATGAGCCTATCCAGAAAACTTGGCCTGAATTCCATGTGCCAGCAATCAACATGGTATTGTCGGGATACTGAAGGAAATGGACATTTGCTTGTGTGGCTTGACATCTATTTTAAGTGGTATAGAGAGAGACTCATGAATAGTAACAGACTAACAGTCTTGAGCTAACATTGTCTTACTAAATTTTTACTTGTATAAGATAATGCTTTCTTATCATCATGAGCTATACACCTCACATTCCTTGAATATTCTTTTGTGAGAATTGCAAAATGTATTTAAAAAAATAAAAGCTTACACAAAAATCTACTCAGGTTGATGTTCAATCCTGTCTCTTTTTTTATTAGTTAGGTATTTCTTGGTCCTCTTTCGATCTTATGCTATTATCATAACCAAGCTGTTTGCACCTTTTTCACCGTTTACTATTTGTGCATCAGAAATATCCTGATCACCATGCTCTCCTTTATATGTGGGATTTCACTGAAATATTGAAAAAAATCTGAGATCAGCGTGTAATTTCTCTTCAGGTGCTTATTAGCGTGTCCGCACAATTCTCTTCCATCAGGAAGAGGCATAAAGATGTTCTCTATAAAGCTTCACCCATCCATAGAGCTAGAACTCTCCTTAGAGTAGGGCTGCAAATGGATTAGGTCCTGGTTGATCCTACCTGGACCCGATTGGCAGGGTTGGGTCCTGACCCAGATGTGGATACTGACTTGAAACCACGTGTCAGGCCTAGGCCATAGACCCGGATGATATACTATATATGTTATATATCTGGGCCTGGTTGAACCCGACCTAACCTGCCGGATATAGTCCTGGACCTGGATTTTGTTGACCCTTAAGGTTGCCAGGTTGACTAACCCAATTAGCAACCCTAAATATAGGCGCACACCATGCTGCATAGGCCCTGCGACGAAAACTGCATTTGGGGTATAACCTTAAAGGGAACCACTTACAGTCAGCTTCCTTAGCAGAACCCACGGAGTCCTTAGGACTTTTTTCTTCCTTAGCGAAAGCCCTTCGGTACCTTAGAGTATAAATTTAATAAATAATTTTATATAGTTTTTTGTGTGATTTATTCTTATATTTTGAGTCCTGGGTTTGCTGTTTGTACAGTTATGTTTAGCTCCTCTACTATTACAAAAGTAATTGTATCAAAAAGCACAGCACCAACGAGAAACATCTCACCCATTTTTTGTCCTCAAATTTATCCTAACTAGCTAGAATAAATTTATTATAATTAAAAATGAAATAGAAAAGTCCTTAGTTTGGGAATTTATTTTGATCCTATATATGCTTTGTATAATGCAAGTTTTGAATCCTCTGTTAAATTGACACAATCATAAATCATTCTTTTTAACTCGATAGTTTACATTGGCAAAAATTATTTTAAAAAATAGAAATAACAAGTTGGATGGCTCAATTGTCCCTTGTTTTAAATAGGAAAAAATTAATTTATTTAAATGTTCAATTAGTGATTTAAAATTTAAAATATTTGGCAAGTGATATGTATGAACCTCTTAAATTGCTATTACTGATTTTTAAAAAATAAGTATTTTTCACTCAAAAAGATTCCAAAAAATTAGGAAAATATTATTAATCAAATTATTATTTTTGCTTTCTAAACTGAAAATTTAGAATTCCGTAAAATTGGTACCCTATCATAATTCCTTGTAGCTAATCCTTACTTTTAAGGATTCAATTGCCCTCCTTTACAAAGATAGAGAGAGAAAACTTAAGGGCTATTGAACATGGCCAAGGGCTCTTATTGCATGATGATAACTGGCAAATGGGCATCATAAGATCTCGCCCACGGTATGTGCGATGTACATATGCAGCCAATTGAACTCTTGAAGAAAATTTCGAACTTCTTTTTTACATAGATACATATTATTATACTGATAAAAAACTGTTACAAATTATTTTTAGAGTTATAAAATTTGTAGTTAAAAGATTATAATAATAATTATTTTAACTAAAACATAAAATTAGGGTTATATGATATAATATTTGGGAGTTTATTGAACCTTATTTAATAGGACTCTATTTGTTTTTGTAGAGTTTATTTTAAATTAGAAATATGTTTTTCACTTGCAAAAAAAATTAGCAATATTTTTTTAGCAATTAAAGCTCGTAATCAAAGACAAATAAGTAAAAATTTTATATGTCTAATTTTTAAACAGAAATTTAAAGAAATTCAAAATATAAATTCTATTTGAATCCCATAAATGTATGGAAATCATATTTATTAGTACTTTAGAAGGAGAGCTTCCTAGTTTGAGTGGGAATATATGAGCCAAAATCTAGATGTGTTTCATAGTCCTTATTTTATTTTTAAAATTTTAAGCAATGCAAATCCGTTAATTGATTAGTAAACAAGTGAAAATGTAATATTTTAAGAAAAATGAATTTGAGAGAATAGATAGTCCAAATCATGACAGCCTTCTTGATTGGAATTTCCAAATAACTCTAAATCTATTTGCAATGGGAGTCTCTCTAGTAGGATAAGATATGACTCTGCGGTTAGATGTAATTAATTGAAGTGGAAGGCTAAGATTGTACAATGGAGACGGACTAAGACACATCACAAGAAAGTTAGTCTATGTTTTGTGTGTGTGTGGGCTCATGCATGCATGGGCGTGGGGTCTGAGGCAGAGGTGTGGGCCTGCTGCGTGCTTGCATATCTCTGTATGTGTGTCTGGAATCTGGATTAATTAATTAAACATGTTTGAATACTGAGATAGGTATACAAATGTCACCAATGTTCATATGGTAATGTGTGCAAGCATCTATAATATAATTTTGAAGCCTAAACTCAAATTCATTGATGATGAGGGGCTCACTTTTCCTTGCTCATGTTTGTATTTGCTTCATGCATTCCATGCCAATTGCAACACGTGATTTGTGGTAATCAATAGAGTTTCAGATTGCTTCTTGTAATTATGGAAGTTGTCATTGTGGCAGCATTTTACTTCAGCATTGTATTTAAAGTTCAGCACCGTATTTAGAGTGATGGACTTTGGTCTCTTTGACTTGAGAATTTTTATTATCTACTGTTGCTAAAGATTTAAAAGTTGTATCTGTTTGCTTGTTTGCTACTTTATAGTATTGTATTCAATGTAATATTATATGCTCAATTGCGCAGTTTGTTATTGTGTCGTTGAGTGGATGGGGTTTGCTCTTCTATGGGGGTTACAAGTTTTTCACTGGAGGCAAGAAAGGCAAACAGGAAGAGGTATGTGTAATTGTGCATTTGCTTGAAAATTGCATTCTAACATTAAATGAACAAAGAAGGAACTCAAAATTTGAAAGAAATCAAATTCACCATTTCTGGGCCTTTTATTTATGTAACAAGGATATAACAATCCTAGAATATTAAATGTTTTGTTACATTTTGTTACAAAAATCAAACTAGAAGAACTCTCATTCATTGAATACATAGAATTATTAAGAAGAAAAATGGGCTTAAGGCCCCCAAAATACCTGCTTATAGCTTCGGAGAAGCCTTTTTCTTCAAAGGCCCTGTATGCTCCTGTTCTCTCACTTTGTACAAATTCTCTCATGTCTTGTGTTCTGTGTCTGCGCAATGTTTTTGTTGTCATCCCTTTGTCTGAAACTAATCCCTTTTTTTTATGTTATTTTGAACTTAAAAAATGGTGGAAATGGTTGTGGAGGCTTTTTGGCTGCTATTGAAGCATGAGATGATTCCCTTGAGAAATCAGCTATAAAGTGGTAAAATATGATTTTGATGCTTGAGGGCATAATTGTCAATAATTTTTATGCCTTCCCATTCAGCACAATTGACATTATTAGAAAAACAATTCAAGCGACTTTGCCCGCGGGCAAGGATAACCTCTTTTGCAATTGTGATTAAAGATCGATTCTTAGCTTTTTGCGCAGATTTATGTTTGGATTCTGTGTTCAATGCATTTTATGTGCACGAGAATAGTTTTTGGTATTTTTGGACTCAGTTTTATCAAAAAGTGGCTGGGATTCAAAGTGTGGAGGAGAGTCTCAGATTTGATTGAGTTTAAGCTTTTCTCAATCTTGCGTCAATGTTGGAAAGTCTCGATATCCCTCTTAAGGGGGCGGAATTTACCTGATCCAATCACTCCCCAAACCCCACTTTATCCAAGCTGGACAGGTTCCTCACCTCCCTTCAATGGGACAATCTCTTCCTTGGAGCCCATTCCTCCGTTCTCCCCAATCCTACTTCAGACCACCGTCCTATTTTACTCGACATTCAGGTTGTCCAAAGGGGACCTAAACCTTTTCGGTTTGAAATCGCTTGGTTCAAGGAGGCAAACTTCTCAGCTATGGTTCGCTCGAAATGGGATTCCTTTGCCACCCAAGCTCATGGATGGGCTGGCTTTAGGTTACAGAAGAAACTCCAGCTCCTTAAGCACTCCCTGAGGTTGTGGAGTGCCCAACTCCCTGGCAACATTCGAACCCAAAAAGAATCATTGCTTCAATCCAGTCAATTCTGGGACTAAACCGAAGAAAATCGAACCTTCTCTCCCTCTTAACTGGAGCTCATGTTCAAAGCTGAACTTGACTTGAGTCTTCTCCTCAAGGAGGATGAAATCTACTGGGCCCAAAGATCCAAGTTCAAGTGGCTTAAGTCTGGGGATCTCAACACTACTTACTTCCACAAGGTTGCCAACTGCCGGAGAAGAGAAAGCTCCATTGCCCATCTCAAGGTTGGTGATCGAATTCTCGACCATCCTCACCATTACGAGCAGGCGGCTATTGACTTTTCTCCCAAACTCTTCTCCGCTCCCCAGGGTCCCAGACCCTATATGGATGACCTCTCCTTTCCTTCCCTTCCCCTTGGAATAGCAGCCTCTCTTGAACAACCTTTCTCTGAGCTCTGACCGGTCCCAGGACCCGATGGGTTCCCAATGGCCATCTTTAAGGCATTTTGGGAAACTTTGAAGCCAGACATCATGGCTTTCTTCCAGGAATTTCACTCTAGGGGAATCATCCATCGAACTATGAATTTCACCTTCATAGCCTTGGTCGCGAAGATAGAGGGAACTGAGGACCTAAAAGACTTTAGGCCCATAAGCCTGATTAATAGCTCTTATAAAATCTGTACAAAGTCCTGGCCTCCTGCCTTAAGACTGGTTTTACACTGGGTCATTTCCCCATCTCAAGGGCCTTTTGTCAAGGATCGCCAAATCCTTGATGGGGCTCTTATTGCTCACGAAAGTATTCATTCACACCACCTACAAAAAAAATCCCAGGCTCATCATAAAAGGTGATTGGGAGGAGGCGTATGATCATGTTGATTGGAAGATTCTTGATGAAACCCTTCGTCAAATGGGCTTCAGGGCTACATGGAGAAAATGGATCCAGGTCTGCATCTCGAAACCTTTTTTCTCTGTGCTTTTCAATGGTAGAGGGGTACTTTCAGGCCTCAAGATGCCTGTGACAGGGTGATCCTTTGTCGCTCTTCCTCTTCGCCCTAGTAGCTGAGGTATTCAGTGCCTCTTTAACGAGGATGCATCAAGCATGGCTCCTTTCGGATTTCAATATAGGAAGATCAGGCTCTCTTGTAACCCACCTTCCATACGTAGACTATACTCTTTATCTTCTGCAAGGCCTCCCATCAGCAAGTTGATAGCCTGCTTCTCTTCCTCAAATGTTTTGAACTAGCCACTGGTTTCAGAGTCAACATGGATAAATAAAAAATGGTGGATGTTGCCACAGACTACCCCTTGGTCCACGGCTTTGTTGCCCGTTGGGGTTGTGCAGTTGATAATCCCCCTTCTACCTACCTTGGGATTCCCTTTACCTCGGCATGCCTAGACTTGACCCTTGGGCCCTATAATTGATAAATTCGATAGGAGGCTTGCAGCTTGGAAAGGGAGATTCTTATCCTCAGCTGGAAGAGCGTTACTCATCAAGGCCACCCTCTCTAGTATTCCTCTCTTCCTCATTCCGGCCTCAGTTCTTGCGAGATTGGCAAAACTCATGAGGGACGTCTTTTGGTCAGGTGAAGGTGGCCATAAATTCCACCTTATCTCCTGGGCCAAGGTGTGCCTTCCCAATTCCCGTGGTGGTCTTGGCATTCGTACCCTAAGAGCCACCAATCTGGCCCTGTTAGGCAATCGGTGGTGGCGCTATGCCACATAATCTAATCACCTGTGGAGAGAGGTAATCTCCCATAAATACTGCTGATAAGACCACACGTGGCTTCCTCTATCAGAACTACATGCAACATTTCAGGATTTTGGAGGCGTTTCCAACATTGTCGCATCCTTTTCCTACAAGGGATCCGGTACTGTCCAAGGTCGGGCAATACTATCTCTTTTGGCATGATATTTGGATTGGTGATGGCCCTCTTGAAGAATCCTTCCCATCTCTCTTTTGGTTTGCCCTTGATCCCAATTCAACTGGGGCTGATTGTTTTGCTAGCAATGGGAACAATAGAACTTGAAATCCCAATTTCAGACGAGCCCTCAATGATGCAGAGATGGGACATTTATGGGATCCCTCAAGCCTGCTGCAGTCAGGTTTTCTTCCCTTGTATGGGGAAGATAAAATCATTTGGTCCCCTGCCTCTTTGGGAATTTTCTGAGTCACTTCACTCTACTGACCCATTACCACGACCTCTTCTACTCTCAATGCACCCCCCGCTCGCGCATGTAAAATAACTGCCAAAGCCTAGTTCCCCTTCATTCCCCGAAAGATCCAAGTATTCAGTTGGATCACTCTTCATGAGAGCCTTAACCCTCGACCAACTACACAGTGCAGATGCCTATCCCTTCCTATTAGATGTGTTATGAAACTCTCGGCCGAGGAGGCTAATGCCCATCTCACCCATTGCGAGGTAGCTTCTGCCCTTTGGACCGATGTACTTAACCTTTTCAAGTGGCATTGGGTCACTCCCCATTCCATGCCCCAGCTCTTTTCCACCTACCTGTGTACTCCCTGGAACAATTCTGATCACTTCCTTTGGAGAGCCTCCATTGCTGCCATTTTATGGACTATTTGGCTTGAAAGAAATAGCAGAATCTTTAGGGGGGAAGTAGCTTCTATCCCCTCCCTAATTGACAAAATACCATTCTTTAGTCTCTCTCTGGGTTAGAAACCACAGACTCCTAAAAGATTAGTCATTTGCTGATCTATTTCACAACTGGCATGATTTTCTCTATCTGTAACACCCGCAGGATCTCTCGCTCCTTCTTGTGGAGACCACTGGACATTGAGCAAGCCAAACTTAACCTTGATGGTTGCTTTCTTGGCAACCTGGGCCTTGCTGGGATTGGGGCATCTTCCGAAATTCTGAGGGCTCCACCCTCCTATCTCCCTGCCTATTGGAAATACGGACTCCACTACAGTGGAGGCCAAGGCCTTACTTGAAGGTCTCCGAAGATTTGACCCCACCTGGAACACAATAGTGGTAGTTGAAGGTGACTCTTGCAACATCATCACATGGGCCTCTGGGGCTGCTCCTTGGCCTTGGAGGCTAGACGTCATCTTCGGTGAAATTTGTCAGATTTCAAGCACATTGAGGTGACCTGGAACCACATTTTCAGAGAAGCCAATGAGAAAACGGATGCTCTAGCTAGGGAAGGAGCAAGCCTTAATCCTACCATGGGATCTGTGGGATGTTTTTAAGCCTGCGCTCCCCTCCTTTTATCCTCTTGTAAATGTGATGTAGAGCATTTTGGACTCTTAGTGGATTTTTGTATAGGGCACCCAATTCATGGGTTGCCTATTTCTTGTATACACTCTTTTAACTGTACCCTTCTGTTGATATCAATACTGGACTCTTAGTGGTTTTTTGTATAGGGCACCCAATTCATGGGTTGCCTATATCTTGTATACACTCTTTTAACTGTACCCTTCTCTTGATATCAATACGATTGTCATCTTATTCAATTTTTTTTTGTTTTTTGGAGAAGTCTCTAGGTGGTGCCTAGGCGATAAGGGGATGCCTACGTGCCTGCCCAGAGACAAATGTCATATTTTTTTCTTTTTTTTTCAGGGATAGGTTAAATACCAATCCCCCTGGATGAGGTAAAATACCCTTTTTTTTGGGGAAAAAAAATCATGCAACCAATTTTTTATAAAATGATAAAAATATTAAAGTTTCAAGTCCTTGAACAAAAAGCATCAAATGTTTCAAACAAGCAGGATGAACTCATAATTCATAAAGGAAACTGAGTTACATCAAGCATCATCACTAGCTATATCATGGCCCCTTGCACCACCAGAAGCATTTTAAGCTGATAATGTCACCGGGCCGTCGTCATCTTGTCATCCCCTAATATGTATAGATATCTAATACAACCCTAATTCAAAACTTAAAAATCTCTAACCTCTAAAGGGGAATAGCTTTGGTTGCCAAAAACCTCTTCTCACGACCACTTCAAGCCCCAAAAAGATTGGGCGCAAATGCCTTTTGATTTCGCAAGAAATTGAAAATTTTATATATTTGTTTGATCTTGGTTTTTTCACAAAAAGTTGGGATTTGAGAATTTTTTGGGTTCGAAATTTGTTCTCCAAAGGTTTTCGGGATTAAAATGACCCCCCAACTTCTTAATACAAAGAATAGAGGGGCAAAAAGTTGGAGAATGAGGGGCAATTCCGTCATTTGTCATGGGTCACCTAGCGCTCTCCTTGTGGCACCGTGAGAAGCACGGACAGTGATGCTTATTGCCGCCCGCCGGGGGACTATCCCTGGGTTATGCACCCAAGGCCTCTGGTGGGCAGTCGAACTTTTCAACATGGTTTACAATGACTCCAAATTTGACCAAAAATTTGGTTTGTTACCATAATTTGAGTTTCAATAGGATCTCTGACCTCTTGTCATATTTGTATGCATTTCAGTGTTTTTATTCTTTGGCTTCTTCAGGTTTGGGCAAGAGTACCATTTTTTACCGTGGTGCACAATTCCCAATTCACAATCCAAACTATTAGTTTATTTAATATGAATTCCTATATGATTGTTCACTCTTTTGGTCATATTTGCATTTTCTTCAAAGCTTTTTCTTTGATTTAGTAAGTTTTAATCATTTGAAGTTGTGTCTGCATTTTGACCATGGTTAATACTATTCAAGTCTAGGGCGATTTAAACATCGCAAACAGTTGGCTATCATGAGTCTTTGGCTTTTGAGTCATTTTGATCATTTTCAGAACTTTATTCAAAGTTCTTTTCTTCATTCACATGAAATTTTTAATCAATATGTGTTCTCACCACAGTTAAGGCCTCAGGCATTTTGAGTGCTTTATGCACTGGTTGTCCAGTTTTCACCACTGTTAAGAACTTGCGACTTTTTATGGAAACCTTGCAAACGTCGTGAAGCATCGTGAAGCTATGAATTGACTCCCATTGTCTTATCTTTTGTAAGATATTCTCATGCTATGGAAGCTTATCACAGTTTTATATTCGTGGCTAAGTTAATGGTGGATATCATAATAGAGAGTATACTACATTTCATTGAACGAAGGAAAGAGCATAGTCCATTGAGTCTACATTGTCTACTAAAAATGGATGGCGATGATAGGTTAGGATTAGCATGGGGGTTATCCCTTGTCCTAGTGGGTTCCACAGTGTCTCCATTTCTATGAGGATGACCCATTGGTTTATATTATTGTATACACGTCCATGATAATTTATGTGATTTTATCATATAGTGGGAGTTAATAATTGGAAGTAGTCCATTTTATTTAATTTAATTTTTTGGATAATTTTGGACATTTCCAAATCAGAATGGGGAAGAATCAGTTAGAACTTATTTTAATATTTGGCTGCAAACATATGTGAGGAGCTGTGTTTCTTGCAATTCTATTTTCTTCACAGCACGATGAAAAAACTTGTTTGCTTCATGTTTTTCTTTTCAAGCAAATCACAAACCATTTCCTATTAATACTGTGGTGGTACTTGTTAGTGTGAGAGGTAAGGATAATGTACACAATTTTACTTTCAATCTTGTGGTTTAGGTATATCAATAAATCTTCTCGGGTAGTCTCCTTTCTCCTTTCATGTCAGAATGGACAACAAACTACCGTGGGCTTATGATTATTCCTGTTTTCCCTTAAAGGGGGACATTAGAACTGTTCAAATATTTCTGATATTTTGAAGAACGGAGATTACCCTAGATCGTGTTTTAAGTGAATTTCATTGTGCTGTATGAATATCACTCTCTCTCTCTCTCTCTTGCTCCATACCTAAATTTAGAGACGGTTTCCTACATTGCACATTAAGAAAACATTGGTCCCACATTTTTTATTGTGAAATATTACGGAATGGATATTGTTGATCCCAATGAGGGTAAAAAGGAGTGCTCTGATTGACCATCCACCGTTCATGTCTTTTATGGTCAGTGGAGATCGACTTCTGTCCCTGATGTGGCGTAACTGCGGGACAATGGGTCACCGCCACCTTCAATTGACGAGATCATAATGGATGGCCTGACTCAGCACCTCATGCCATACTCAAAACGAGTATTACAGTTTGCCAAAATGTTCTGTAGGCTTAAATTGCTTTTGATATCCATTTAAGGAGTTACTGGTTTTTGGATTCCAATCTAGAGGGAATCGTGGGAGGGAGAATCTCATCTGAAACATTAATTTGAAGTTACCTTCTGTGTCCATCGTATAAGAGCGTTTGCATGCAGGTGCATGCATTTGTGTTTTGCGTTGTGTGGGCTAATAGACTTTTCTTGTGCGACAGAAAGTTGCTGAAAGTGTGCATTAGAGACCTCTGTGCCCGATCGGCATCCTTCATTGGAGGCTAAGAAATAAAGGGCGCCTGCTCTGGCAGTCTGGAAGATGAGGTTTTGTTATTTGGACAGTTGCAGTTTTGGAAGGTTTTCAAGGATCACTGCTTGTTTTACCTCGTGTGAATCTGTTATAGTTTTGAGCTTTTTGTTTGTGCCTCTGTTGAAATTTAGCACATCAATAGCCAAACTGAAATTTTCTATCCCATGATGTTTGAATGGTATAGGCAATTCCATCGCACTTGAAAAAGAAATAAACCGACTTCCGCACAGGGAAAAGTGTTCTCTCTCTCATACGCACTTTTCTGCGGGAGCTTCATTTCTTTAAATCTTTTCTATTGATGAGACAATAAGACGGTAAAAAAACAAGGGTGCGGTTTGTATAGGGCTGAGGCTCTAAACAATTCAAGTAAAGCGCATCTTCAAATAGTGTCGAGAAATGTGGTTTCAAATTGGAAATCTTTGTGATAGTTTGAAAATATATTTTCATCTTTAATTATAAAATTTAAAGTTTAAAAAATAGTGCATATTTATGAAAACTTGAAAATCTTGAAATTCGACGATCCAAAAATGTATTACAATATTTTGAGAAATTGAAATCCATTTTTCTTTTATGTCTATGCATATTGAAGTGATCAATTTGAGGATATCTGGGTATCAGATTATCTCTTCCGGTGAAATTTTTAAGGCGTGCTCTACTTTTATTGTTTTGAGCTTCAGCTCTACATAAAAGTTTTTCCAAAAAAACAGTGGAAACCTTTCTGTAGTTCAAACCTTTTAAACTTTCAAATTTTTGTTTAAAAAAACAATGAAAAAGAAAACCATATTTTTCGGTACTTTTCCATCATATTCTGCATATTTTTTTGTTCTTTATCATGCTTATCTTGATCTTCTTATTCTCTACCATTTTGTTTGGCGTCCAAGGTCATGCGGTATCAGTACCCAATGCCTGTAGGCTCCACTAAGATCAAAGCCAGTATGCTCCATTAAGATCAAAACAAGCTCTGGGATTTCCCATTGTCCAGCACCCTTTTTTTTCTTGTCTTTTCCCTTTTTTTTTTTTTTGCGTCAGGTTTCTAACTTCATTAGGTGCTTACAAAGTCAAAAGTAATGCAAATATTTCATGGAAAATTGTTTCATGCGGGCTAGACTGCATTTTTACATATACGGACTAAAAAGTGTAATGCATATGAGTAGGTGTTCCATCTAAAAACATTGGAAACTAACGGTCCAAATGTTTTTTTACTATAATTATTATTTTTAATTTTTAAAATTTATTTAGTTTTTCATATTCATGATCTCCATGTTAGAATTACATGTCTTTAAAAATTAAGTTTTAAAATCCATCTCAAAAATTGATTTATTAAGAGGCCTGTATTTCTACATATGTGAGCTTGGCCGCGGAGAAACCGGGTCCATATTACATTGAAGCATGAACAACTGAAAGTTCTGGGAGTGTGACCCCCTGTTTACCCAGTTGGTTGGCTTCACGATTAGCTTCCCTGTAAATATGAGGGAAGGAATGTGAAGGAGCCACAGTGATCTAAGGTTTGCATCCACACTGATCTTAATTTTCCACAGAAATGTCTGTTCCCTACGACACCAACTAATAGCATCCTATGAATAGCCTTAACGACACCAACTAATAACCTTCTATGAATCGCCTTCTACAATTAAGTGTATAACTCCACAAAAAGTATGAAACCATGTAGCACAGTATGCAATTTCACGTCATTGGCAGTTACATTGCATCACAGACCGGAGTATGAAAGAATCATTAGATTCTTATGATTCTTGATCGATACTCCAACTCTTGTCCGGCCAGGATTACTAATCGAACTCCCGTCAAAATTAAGCTTTAGCAAGCCCTATGAAGAACTATTTGACTAACTGCATTCACCAACACCCCCTCTACCTTTTGCTTTATCAATCAATTTTTTTGCAGCCATTTGACATCGTTTCTGACATTTCGTACTTTGTTTTTTAACCCTTCGACAACAATGGTAAGTCCTTTAGGTTGGATTTGAGCCACACCTCTTCTTCTTTGTTTCTCTATGTGTGCAATTTCGTTATGGCCTGTTTGACTCCTTGGAATATAAATAATGGATTGATCCATATCCGGGATATGAATGTTCTGGATAATGGTGAGACAGGGAGATCCGATGGACCTTTTCCTTTCCACTATAGTGGCTAAGTCTTTCAGCTTGAAGCTTGATAGCTCTAGTAATGCTTGATTGATGGAGGATTTGTTCTGTTCGCTAGTAATGGTTGATTGATGGAGAGTTTGCCCTGTTTGCTACATGATCCCACTATCTCGTATTTTCATCATGCAGATGAAAATTCTACTTCTTGTAGAGGCATCAATGGAGCAGGTTCAATATATATGGTTATTTTTAAAATGCTTTGCTATAATCTCGGGGGCAAAGGTTGACACAGAAAAGACTACGCTTATGGGAATTAATTGTGGGGATGAGGAAATTAGGGACTGGGCATTGTGGAACTGATAAACTTTCAGCATACCTAGGGGTTCCTTTGGTCGAAGGAAGGTCGCTGAGAATGGCCTGGGCTCCAAAAGTTGATAGATTCTATAGTAAGCTAGAAGGATGGAAAAGTAGATACCTTTATCTGGGGGGCAGAATTAATCTAATAAAGGGGTAATGCCAAACTTCCATGTGTACTATTTTTTCTCATTCCGTCCACCTATAGGCTTGGTGAAGCAACTTGAATCCATCATGAGGAACTTCCTCTTGAGTGGCTCCACTGACTGAAAAATTCAAATTAGTTAGTTGGAGCTTAGTTTGCCTTCCTAACAAATATTGAGATCTTGGTATCCGCAAATTAAAATTCTTTAATGAGGCTCTCTTAACCAACTGGTGGTGGAGAATTAGCCCAGGTCTAGACCAACTTTGGAAAACTGTAATTTATAGTTTCAGAAAGATGATTCGGGTTATTGACTAAGAAGGTTTCTAATGGAACATCAGCCTTGATGGTGTGGAAAGGCATTGACTCTGTTAGGAACCTGTTCATTTCTTTTAGTAGAGTCTCTATCGGAAATGGGGCCACAACTAAATTCTGGACTTCCCAGTGCATTGGAGACTGTCAGTTCAAACTTCAATTCCACAGGCTCTATAGGCGAGTAGTGGATAAGCGAAGCTATGTTATCAACATGGTTAGGGGGGAGGCAAGGAATGAATATGGGGCCCAAGGTTACAACTCGGAAGGGTAGATTGCAGAGGTAAAGGCACACTATCTTTCTCTTATAAATGTGCTTTCTTATTACTACTACTACCCCAGAAGTGAAGATAGATTGGTTTGGTAGTTGAACCATGATGGGGAATTATTCAGTAGGGTCTTTTACACTCGTACTAGCAGGGAATGATACTTCAACACCAAATCAAGCCTTGCTGAGATTTGGTTATTCAAGGTTCCACTTCAGGTAAGAGCTTTTCTGAAGCTGTCCTATGGCTTTTTGGGAAGACGGAACATTATCTATTGAGCAACTAAGGAAAAAGGGATTGACTTTGACTAACATTTGTCGATTTGTGCAAGGCAACTGAAAAAACAAACTCTCAACTATTTCTACATGGCCCTCTTTCCAGAAAACTATGGGAGTGGTTGATGGGTACATCTCATTGGCACTGGTTTCCTGGCAATAGTAGATGAGCTGATAACCAACTTCGCAACACCATATTTCTCTGCAATTAGCAGAATGTTATGGAAAACGTCTCTTTGTTCTATATGTCAATTAGCAGAATGTTATGGAAAACCTCTCTTTGTTCTATATGTTGGCGCCTTTGGTAGTAAAGGAACTTAAGGACTTTTGAAAAAAGAAGCCGAGATACACTACAACTTTAGTTTTTGCCATTATGACCTCAATCGTCATATGAACACGAGCATAGAAAGAATTCAAAGATATACCAAAGGAGTTTTTATTTGGTTATTACAAAGGTCTGCTCTTCCTTAAAGGGAGTTACAGTCATGAAGCCATTTGGATGGCAACCTCCACGGTGGAATTGAGCTTTGATGGGAGTGTGAGGAATAATGAAGAGAGGGCTCGTTCTGGGGCCTATTACAGGATGGTAGTGGTTTCAACATTGTGGTCCTATCAAGGCTTACGTCCTTGTGGGGCTGATGAAGTTGAACTTTGGGCCCTTAAACAAAAGTCTTCGTACTACAACGACAGCACGATAGAGTGATAATTGAAAGAGACTCGACCAATATGTCAGTAAAATAGTGTAAAAGGTCCCTACCTTACCCCATGGGCATGGAGCAATATTGTGGATAAGATTAAATTTCTACTCTATGGAAAGGAGGTTAATTTTAGCCACGTAAATAGAGAATGGAACCAAGCAAACTCGTTGGCTAATGCAGCCCCACTCTTTTAGCTCTAAGTGTCTTTTAGCTCTTTCCTTTTTTTCCCTTTCCTTCTTGTACTCTTTCATTTCCTCAATGAAACAAATGTTAGAAAAATTCGAAACAGCCTGAGTTGAACCAGGGCTGGAGCCACCCGTTCTAAGTCCCTCCCTGATTTGGTACTCAGCCTTAGGGATGTATACACACCATAAAAAAACATTAACTAACTTTTAAGATACTGTTTTTAAGAACATTTGAAGGTTCTATCTGAAATTCCTAAACCTTGTTTAAACATTTTGACATTTTTTTTCTATTTTTTACTTTGACCAAATTAGCCGAGCCGACTCATTGGGTGACCGGTTTGACCTACAGGTCTGAGTTTTTAAACACTAAATGAAACAAAGAATAACATTAGATCTTGGCCTTGTACCCATGATACCACGTGAATACCACGGGAATACTACAGGCAACAAAAATCCAAACCTATTGATACACCAAAACACTAAGTTGGCGATAGCAAGTGCCTTCACTTTGCAAACATCATATCGCGCTTCTCGCCATTTCCAGTCTCACCTCCACCTGATCTTCTATTCATTATATTTTAAAATGGGATTGTATGTAATGAGATCATTTATCTTTATTACAAGGAAAGCATAGTCACTTCTGGATCTAAAATTGAATGGCTTTGACTAGTCACGGAGTTCGATAAATTTTTTTTTTTTCACTTTAAATCTTTTCAATGATACGCTTACAACCACCTATTTTAAAATCCAAGAAATAAGAGTGATTGTGAACTTTTTGTACAAAAACGTAAAGGACTCGATGAGAATGGGGTTGGGGTTGGGGTTGGGGTTGGGGTCGTGATGGCAAGCACCACTTGTACTTCAGTTAAGGTCTAGATTTCCATTCTCACCTAACGTATTAAAAAACCACTAACGATTTCAGAAAATAGATAGGGGCTCGTCATCCCTATTGA